CATGAATAGGCGGCGTGACCTTATTTAATTCTCTGAAATCTACTGTCATTCTCCATGTGCCATCTGACTTCCGCACTGGCCATATGGGGGAATTATATGGGCTGTGTGCAGGTCTTATAATGCCCACTTTCTCTAATTCCTGCACAGTTCTCGATATTTCATCTTGCCCACCCGGGAGTCTATACTGTCTTACATTAGTAATCTGGCGTGGTTTCGGCAGGCAAATAGGCCCATGTTTCGCATGGCCTCTTAATATTGCCTGCACTGCCCGGATACTGATACATCTCTGTCAAAGTCTGAACTCTCCCACAGTTGTCTGGAGAGCCAGACCCCATAGAATATCTATGCCCAAGATGTACTCCTGGACTGGGGCAATAGATACCTTATACTCCAGGGGTGGGAGACGCCCAACCCCCAGTTTCAACCATGTTTGGGTGACAGGAATGGTCTGTCCCCCAAAGCCACCAATCATCATTCTGTCTCCATCAAATTTGGTTGGATCTCCGTAAATAATTGATGTTTCTGCTCTGGTGTCCACTAGTGCCATAACTCTTTGAATATTTTTTCGGGACCAATAAATCGTTAATTCTACATAGGGCCTCTGGTCCCATCTGGAGGCCCTAGGGGGACTAACATCCCTCGTCACGCCATGAATTGAGCTATGTCCAATTCTTTTGCTTCCGGTGGCTCAGGCATTGTAGCCCGAGACACCTGAGGCGGCTTTTTTTTCCTATTAGGAACAATGAAATCCTCTATGTTGTTGTTGGCATTCTCTCTATAACCCTTACCCTTGGTTTCTTAGAGTAGGTCTGAAATTTTTGGTTGTCCTTTAGTTGTTTCCACAGTTGGAGAAGGACATGGTTGGGCTGGCCGTCAATCTTAGCAAATTGGACCCCAGCCCGAATTAAATCATTAAACATTTGTTTTTGGGAGACCCTTATGGGTCCCGATTGAGGAGCTCGAGTAGCCGGTATTTTGGTTTTAGTCACTGGCAAGACCTTGGCTTCTTCTAGTGTCCGAATGTTGCACCTATTCCGCAGGTGTTCTGTTACTCCTAGATCAGCCACTGACTGCGCAGCCTGCTGGACAACTGCTTCTGAGGCCACTAGGGGATTTAATATAGAGACCAGAGTGCCATACAGATGGGAGGGAGCTTGTTGTAAAATTAGGTCTCTGATCCCCGCTGAGAATTTGACCAGATCCGGGCCATCAAAGGTATCTTCATAAATCACTTCCCTTACACCTATAATTCACGGATGTAATTTTGAAGGTCCTCCATGGAGGACCACATCCCTGTATGTAAAGGAATATCAGATTTATTGGGCCATACCATACGGCATCCGCCATTAACCATTCTATTATAGAATGGTTTTCATCATTATATTGATTACCTGCATATAAT